CAGTGAAGGCTCCGGCTCAGAAGAAGTGAAAGAAGCAGAGCTGACGTCACCTCTGGACTTTCCTCTGACCAGAGTGTGTGACGTCTGTGTGTGACGTCTGTGTGTGACATCCATGTGTGTGTGTCTGTGTGTGTGTGTGTGTGTGTATGTGTCTGTGTGTGTGTGTGTCTGTGTGTATGTGTCCGTGTGTGCATGTGTCCGTGTGTCTGTGTGTGTCTGTGTGTGACGTGTGTGTGTGTGTCTGTCTGTGTGTGTGTGACGTGTCCGTGTGTGTGTGTGTGTGACGTGTCCGTGTGTGTGTGTGTGTGTGTGTGTGTGTGAGACGTGTCCGTGTGTGTGTGTGTGTCTGTGTGTGTATGACGTGTGTGTGTGTGTGTGACATGTTCGTGTGTGTGTGTGTGTGTGTGTGTGTGTGTGTGTGTGACGTGTCCGTGTGTGTGTGTCCGTGTGTGTGTGTGTGTGTGTGACGTGTCCGTGTGTGTCTGTGTGTGTGTGACGTGTGTGTGTGTGTGTGACGTGTGTGTGTGTGTGTGTGTGTGTCTGTGTGTGTGTGTGTGACGTGTGTGTGTGTGTGTGTGTGTGTGTGTGTGACGTGTCCGTGTGTGTGTGTGTGTGTGTGTGTGTGACGTGTCGTGTGTGTGTGTGTGTGACGTGTGTGTGTGTGTGTGTGTGTGTGTGTCGTGTGTGTGTGTGTGTGTGTGTGTGTGTGACGTGTCCGTGTGTGTGTGTGTGTGTCTGTGTGTGTGTGTGTGTGTGTGTGTGACGTGTCCGTGTGTGTGTGTGTGTGTGTGTGTGTGTGTGACGTGTGTGTGTGTCCGTGTGTGTGTGTGTGTGTGTGTGTGTGACTGTGTGTGTGTGTGTGTGTGTGTGTGTGTGTGTGTGACGTGTGTGTGTGTGTGTGACGTGTGTGTGTGTGTGTGTGTGTGTGTGACTGAGTGTGTGTGTGTGTGTGTGTGTGTGTGTGTGTGACGTGTGTGTCGTGTGTGTGTGTGTGTGTGACTGTGTGTGTCTTGTGTGTGTGTGTCGTGTGTGTGTGTGTGTGTGTGTGTGTGTGTGTGACGTGTCCGTGTGTGTGTGTGTGTGTGTGACGTGTCCGTGTGTGTGTGTGTGTGTGTGTGTGTGTGTGTGTGTGTGTGTGTGTGTGACGTGTCCGTGTGTGTGTGTGTGTGTGTGTGTGTGTGACGTGTCCCGTGTGTGTGTGTGTGTGTGTGTGTGTGTGTGTGTGTGTGTGACGTGTGTGTGTGTGTGTGTGTGTGTGTGTGTGACTGTGTGTGTGTGTGTGTGTGTGTGTGTGTGTGTGTGTGTGTGTGTGTGTGTGTGTGTGTGTGTGTGTGTGTGTGTGTGTGTGTGTGTGTGTGTGTGTGTGTGTGTGTGATCTATGCATCTATAATAAGCCCTGGATAAGTCCCGCCCCCTCTGTCTGAGTGAGATGGAGGTCGAGCTCCAGATTCTCTCACGTCTCTGTGGATCCTGGAGTTTAACCTGCTGCTGTTCAGCTTCATGAAGGTCAGATTTTGCTGAGATTCTTCTGGAATATGAACTTTAAAAATATATATATTTATAAACCCTCGTCTCTCCTAAAGTGACCTTCGTCACACTGAGCCTCGCTGCTCTGAGCGGACGCTCGCTCTGATTGGTCTGAACTGAAAATTCCATAAATCGATGTTCTGCCGAGTCCTGGCGTTGCCTAATCTTAATCTAAACCCTAAACTCTGACCTGATCCCGCCCACATCTGATAAAAGCTTCTTAATGTAACAATAAAACTCTTACACAATCGACCTGAAGTTTGTCCATAAAGAGAAATGTCCTGATCACATTATTAAGAGTCTGCAAATGTGAAGCCCCGCCCACACACTGAAGCCCCGCCCACACACTGACCTCTCAGCCTCTCATTGGTCCACTCGGGAGGTCTGGATGTTTTTGGACCTCAGATTCACTGTTTCTGGATCTCGGCCGTTTCCGCTCGACTCGTCTGTTTTGGGCTGAAGTGGGTCAGGAGGACGCAGGAAGTGAACCACCTCGACCAGGTGGTCGCACCGGTTTGTCAAAGTCTGATCCCGTCAGATGTCAGACGCTCAGAGGTCGGACCTGGTCTGGACTTGGATGGAGACTCTGGGAACATCAGGAGCCACAGGAGGAACCAGTCACAAAAACTGTCATTGTGTCCTTAGGCAAGACACTTCACCCACACTGAGTAGTGTGAAAGTGGTGTGTGTGTGTGTGTGTGTGTTGTGTGTGTGTGTGTGTGCAGGCGTGCTTCAGTCAGTCTGCCCCAGGGCAGCTGTGGCTACAGTAGTAGTTTAAACCACTGGGTCTGGAGTGACTGAATAAAGTTCTGTGTCTTTGTGACAAACGTCTGTCACTCACCAGTCGGGGCTCAGTGTTTTACATCGTGGTTTTCCTTTTGCTTGAGGTTCGTTGTTTTGAAGTAAAATCCTCCATAAAACAAAATATAAAGTTGATTTTATTTTGTCCCTGAGACGCTTCAGCTCTGATGTTTTATGACTGAGTTTTTATTGAAACAAACCGTCTTATAAAAAACATAAAATGAATATATAACTCGTTCTGAAAGTCCATCTGAAGGTTTAAAGGGTCAGTCACCTGCTCGTCTCCATGGAGATGTTTTTGTTTTGTTTTGAATGTTCCACTGTAAAGATAAAATCAAGAGAGACAAGTACAGGCTCCATTCCAGGTCAGATCTGTGGAGAGGCGCCCCTGACCACAGAGACAGTAACTGTACAGTATTTTTGAGCAAGAGAAACACACTGGACAGATGGAGGTTTTTAATGTCACACTGTGGGACATTCAAGGCAAAGCAATAACATCTCCATGGAGACGAGCAGGTGACGAAGCCTCCACCGAAATAACGTTAAGAATCTCACGAAAACACACGACGAAAATGAACCACAAAGACGCAGAGATCAACTCTTCTGTGAAAGCTTCAGTCTCAGTATTTCTACGGTGTTTTCCACAAATACTGATTTTATTTTAGAGCAGAGATTCCAGTCGTCCCTGTGTCCCCGTCCTCTGTCCCTCTGTCCCTCTGTCCCTCTGTCCCTCTGTCCCTCTGTCCCTCTGTCCCTCTGTCCCTCTGTCCCACACATTTATACAAAACCACTTATTTGTCCCAGTTTAAACAAGAAATGTCCCAGTGTCTCTGTTTTGGACCAATCTGATCCTGCAACAGTAAAGAGACAAAAACTGACATTTGTTTTGAAAAAATACAGAAAATCTGATTAAAAACGACAAAACACAAAGAAAATGTGACGACAGTGACTCACGTTAGAGCCGAGTGCAACAGTTTTACTTCATTACGACTCGTTTCACTATTTTATTTTTATCAACCTCCACAAACCAGAGACGTCCCAGTGTTTTATTTTGAAAATCTGATCACTCTGGATTAGAGGCGACGTCTGCTCCAAGACTGAAAGAAGCATCGAATCACAAAGGCTCCTAGTGTGTCAGGTCCCTCCACGTGTGTCAGGTCCCTCCACGTGTGTCAGGTCCCCTCCCCGTGTGTCAGGTCCCCGCCCCGTGTGTCAGGTCCCTCCACGTGTGTCAGGTCCCTCCACGTGTGTCAGGTCCCCTCCCCGTGTGTCAGGTGCCTCCACGTGTGTCAGGTCCCTCCCCGTGTCAGGTGCCTCCCCGTGTGTCAGGTCCCTCCACGTGTGTCAGGTCCCTCCACGTGTGTCAGGTCCCTCCACGTGTGTCAGGTGCTCTCCCCGTGTGTCAGGTGCCCTCCCTGTGTGTGTCAGGTCCCCTCCCCGTCTGTCAGATGCCCTCCCGTGTGTCAGGTGCCCTCCACGTGTGTCAGGTCCCTCCACGTGTGTCAGGTCCCCTCCCCGTGTGTCAGTCCCTCCCCGTGTGTCAGGTCCCGTGTGTCAGGTCCCTCCCCGTGTGTCAGGTCCTCCCCGTGTGTCAGGTCCCTCCCCGTGTGTCAGGTGCTCTCCCCGTGTGTCAGGTGCTCTCCCCGTGTGTCAGGTCCCCTCCCCGTGTGTCAGGTGCCTCCACGTGTGTCAGGTCCCTCCACGTGTGTCAGGTCCCTCCACGTGTGTCAGGTCCCTCCACGTGTGTCAGGTCCCTCCACGTGTTCAGGTGCTCTCCCCGTGTGTCAGGTCCCCTCCCGTGTGTCAGGTGCCTCCACGTGTGTCAGGTCCCTCCCCGTGTGTCAGGTCCCTCCACGTGTGTCAGGTCCCTCCACGTGTGTCAGGTGCTCTCCCTGTGTGTGTCAGGTGCTCTCCCTGTGTGTGTCAGGTCCCTCCCCGTGTGTCAGGTCCCTCCCCGTGTGTCAGGTCCCTCCCCGTGTGTCAGGTCCCTCCCTGTGTGTAAAAACCCTACAGTTCAGATCTGAAATGTGATTCTTGTTTTTATTTTTCTGTTTCTAGTTTCTTGTCGATTGTTCCTTCGTGTTTTTAAAACGTGAACTTGAACAGAATCAAATTGAAACATAAATTGTAAAACCACAACTTGATATTTTTCTCAGGTTGTTCAAAACTGATCCAACAATGTTCTCGTGTCCATCTCTGTTTAATCACACAGAACTTTAAACTCGTATAAAACTACAGTCGTATATGAAGCTGCTCGTCCTGTTGTGACGTCATGAGTGTTTTACTGTTATGGAGCAGTGATGTGGAGGACAGATTTTACTTCCTGGTTCGAGCTTCTAATCGTCCGTCCTTCAAAGTGCCTCATTAAACCGTCCTCCAGCAGATGGACCCGTAACGTTTGAATGAGACGTGATATGAAAAGAATGATTAACCGCAGATACACGGCGTCGTAAACCGCAGCAGGACTCTAATCTCCAGCACCTGGTTTAACCTCCAGCTCAATCATTGACAGTGATTTTTCCCACAAGGCCGAGCGTTTCCGCCTCCAGACGCACAAACATGAACGCTCTACACACCAACGGTCTGTGGACGCCACGGGTTTTTAAACTGTGATTTCAGCTGATTCTGATTTATGGTTTGTTTGTGACGGTTTTATTTCCTTTTGTCGACAGAACAGCGGAAAAAATACTCCAACTCCAACTACATCATGCAGGAGACGTCGCAGTACCACGTCGAGGTAAGACACGGATTTACACTGTTTTATGTTAAACATCCTGTTTTATATCAAACAAAACTGAGCCGAGTGAGTTTTAGTCCATGTTCTGACGCTGTTCCCTCGTCACACTCACAACTCGAGTCGTGTTTGTTTGAGTAAATCTTTATTTTGAATCTGTTGCATCTACAAACCTCCAGACGCTCTGCTCCACCTCAACACCTCCTTTTACTTTTAGTAGAGATCAGGACTCCAGGTCTGAAATGATCCAAATGTTTCTAGTGAAGGTGGGTGGAGTTTTTTAGAAACACAGTGGAGCACTTCCTGTATCACCACACTGCAAAAGAGCTTGACCAAAATGTAAGATAAAAACATTTAAATCTATCAGAAAAGGACTTAAAGTAGAGAAATGATGTGTCAGTGCAGCAAGATCATTTTACTGCTCAAGTCATTTTGAAATAAACGAGAATGAAGCTTCTGAGGTCAGTTTTTATGAGCTGGAAATAAGTTTAGACTTAAAACCAGTTTGTGATTAGTTCATGACCTGATAATAATTTTCTAAATAAAGTAAAATTACAAAAAATGTTAAATATTAACAAAACAGCACAAACAAAACTGAAAGAATTTATGTAATAGTTTGCAGTTTTTTAGTAAATTTTAACATTTTCAGTTGTTGTGGCGACGACATCAGACAAAAATAGAAACATGTTAAGAACCAGAATCACACAAATGAAACTTTTTGCAGCACAAAACATTTAGTCTTTTTAGAGAGTTTTGAAGCTTCCTGGGGCTGTGACCCCAGTGTGACCTGTTCATATCTCCAGAACTAAAGCAGCACAAACCATGGACTTAGTTTTTGTAGGTTTGTGTTTGATGGAGGCGACTTCACGCAGTCTTGGACAGAAAAGAAAAAAAATATAATAATTACCTCCGCCAAGGAGGTGATGTTTTTGCCGGTGTTTGTCTGTTTGTTTGTTTGTCTGTTTGTCTGTTTGTCTGTTTGTCTGTTTGTTTGTCTGTTTGTTTGTTTGTCTGTTTGTTTGTCTGTTTGTCTGTTTGTTTGTTGTTGTTTGTTTGTTTGTTTGTCTGTTAGCAACATAACTCAAAAAGTTATGGACCGATTTTGATGAAATTTTCAGGATTTGTTGGAAATGTGAAAAGGAAGAACTGATTTCATTTTGGGGCTGATCCGGAAGAAATCCTGGATTCTGGATCACTTTGAAATTTTAGTTAACATTGTGGTAAATGGGGCCAAAAATTTTGTTTCTCAATATCTCGATTAATTATTGACCAAACCCCATGAAATTTGACTCAGGGATGGACAATGGGATCCTCTTTCATATTCCAAAGGCTGATCCGGATCTGATCCACAAGACTGATTTTATCACAATTTATATAAAAAATGGGGATAGTCCTTGGCGGAGGTCTGCGCTCTCTGACTGCTTTTCTAGTAATAATAATAATAATAATAATAATAATAATAATAATAATAATAATAACAGTGCTCATGAGTTCAGTTCACTGGTTCTTCTGAGTGAATATTCCACTTTCTAAACCAAGAATTCTTCAGAATCATCCACATTTCTTCTCCACACTCACCTGCTTTTTGGCCTGTCAACATTATTGTCTCATCACATTCTTTGTAGGAAAAATGTGTCTTTAAATCGTTCTCTCGATTTGTTTATAGAATTAAATGTATAATTTGTGATGAAACAAAACAGAACTCCAGGTTTGTGTGTGACGAGGAAACGACATCAGAACAGATCAGAGGAAAGAGTCATAAACAATGACCTCATTTTTATTCACAGATAATCCAAAGACACTATTAAAGATAAACTATGGAACTTTTCTGGGTAATTGTCGGTCACCTGTTGTCCTCATGGAGATGTTATCGCTTTGCCTTCATAAAACGTTTCACACTTTGGCATTTCACCGACTGGGCTCCGTGAAGACAAACAGGTGACATCAGCAGGTCAAGTCACAGGTCAGATCTGTGGAGAGGCGACGCCGCGACCTCAGGGACCGAACAAAATAAAACTGAATACAAGATGGAATAAAATACTCAAACAAACACAACTCCAGCTCTGAGTGTGACCAGGAACAACAGAACAACAGAACAACAGAACAACAGAACAACAGAACAACAGAACATCAGAACATTAGAACATCAGAACATCAGAACATCAGAACATTCAGAACATTAGAACATCAGAACATCAGAACATCAGAACATTAGAACATCAGAACATTAGAACATTACAACATCAGAACATCAGAACATTAGAACATCAGAACATTAGAACATCAGAACATCAGAACATTAGAACAACAGAACAACAGAACAACAGAACATCAGAACATCAGAACATCAGAACATTAGAACATTCAGAACATCAGAACATCAGAACATCAGAACATTCAGAACATCAGAACATTAGAACATCAGAACATCAGAACATCAGAACATTAGAACATCAGAACATCAGAACATTAGAACATCAGAACATTAGAACATTACAACATCAGAACATCAGAACATTAGAACATTAGAACATCAGAACATCAGAACATCAGAACATAGAACATAGAACATCAGAACATTAAACATCAACATCAGAACATAGAACATTAGAACATTAGAACATCAGAACATCAGAACATCAGAACATAGAACATTAGAACATCAGAACATCAGAACATCAGAACATAGAACAGAACATCAGAACATCAGAACATCAGAACATCAGAACATCAGAACATTAGAACATTAGAACATTAGAACATCAGAACATCAGAACATTAGAACATCAGAACATCAGAACATTAGAACATTAGAACATCAGAACATCAGAACATTAGAACATTAGAACCGGAGTTAAACAGGAGTCAAGTTTGTGTGATTATTGGAGCTTTTGGTTCATGTACCATTTGTTCTTTTGAATTTCAATGAAGAACCAAAAACAGTTTATTTCATTTTTCCGTTTTAGTGTAAAAAAAAACAACCAAAAAACCCAACAGATTTCGACGGCTATTTCCAATATTTAATTTAAAGTTTATTCCAATAAAAACATTTTCGTGCCTATTTTAATTTATGTATTTTATTCTCTTTGGTTTATCTGAAATTCTGCTGCTGAAGGACGAACCTGAAAAATTATTGCAGTTTTTTAGCGACGAGTTTATTTTCTCGTCTTAGAAAGTCACTGTTGATCCACGACGAGAAACAGAAGCAGAGATAAACTTTCCTTTGTTCAGACGACGCTGAGCAGCAGAGCTTCAGATAAACCAGAGAATCAAATATCAACATTAAAATAGACACAAGACTGTTTTTTTTAAATAAACTTTAAATTAAATATTGGAAATAGAGGTCGAAATCTCTTTTTTTGTTTCAGACTAAACGGAAAAATTAAATAACAAACTTTTTTTATTATTATTATTATTATTATTATTATTATTATTATTATTATTATGTTTATTTATTTCGGACAGTAATACATAGAACATAAATTAAATTTTTTTTTTTTAAATTAATAAATAATAATAAAAAAAACAAAACTTAAATACATAGATAGAACACAAAAAGTAACTATTTCTATTCTATAATAACAGGCAAAATAAATGTTACGCAGACTTTTCCTTGTGTCTGAAAAAGGAGTGGGAGGAAGTAAATACTTATTTAACCCCACCCCTTTTTTCTACAGTCCCAAATTAACGAAGAACAAATACAGACGTCTCATTTCCTGTACATTATAAAGAATAATTGCACAGTACCTACACTGCATTACAATCTAACAGACAACAACAAATATATGTATATTATGTACACAGATACAGTACACATCATATACACAGATATAATATATACATACCTACATACACATCACATACCCATGCATACATATATATATATATATATATATATATATATATATATATATATATATATATATATATATATATATATATACTATACACATATATACACCCATATACATACACATACATATACATACACATACATATACATGCACACATAGACCCTAAGCACTCATTTCTTCCGCACAGTATTTTGAAATAATTATTTTTTTAATTGCCCTTTTGAATACATGTTTATTCGAACAAAGTTTTAATTCTATTTTCAAGTTGTTCCATAATTTCACACCACAAACAGAGACACAAAAACTTTTTCTTGTCGTTCAAGCACGAGGTCATTTAAAATTCAAAACGCCTCTTAAGTTAGAGTTTGTTTCCCTTTTACAAAAAAGTAGTTGATTTTTTGGTAAGTGTGTATTTTTAGCTTTAATGACTTGTGCAGTTTGGTACAGAATCAAATCATTCAGTTTGAGTAATTTGGCATGAATAAACAGTGGATTAGTGTGGTCATGAAATTTGACTTTATAAATAATTGCTTTTTTTTGAAGTTTTATCAATGGTTCTATCGCAGTTTTATAGTTATTGCCCCAAATTTCTGCACAGTCTGTTAAATATGGTAAAACCAGTGAACACATCTGATAGTTTTTCGTTCTTAACTGAATTTGAAAAGAACAAATGGAACAGAGAAGTTTTAATGATGATGAGTAACGGGTGATTTCTGAAATATTAAACGTGTTTGTCCCTCGCAGCATCTCTCCACGTTTATCATGGACAAAAGTGAATCCATCGCCACCGTGGACGACGCCATAAAGAAACTGGCTCTGCTGGACAAAAAGGACAAGATCTGGACTCAGGAGATGCTGCTGCAGGTGACGGACCAGGCGGTGCGGCTGCTGGACTGTGACACGCAGGTACAGACCCCCACCCCAGCACCGATCACACAAAACAAAATCACCTCCACTTTTACAACATCTGAAATATGAGTTTATATTTAATCTGATTTAAAACTGAACAAACTCAAATGTTCATGTTTTATGTTCCAAACTGTGACTCGCTGCACTTTCCACTTTCACTTTATTTTATAAACATGACAGTTTCCAGAGTGCAGCACAAACAAATCAATACGATAAAAGACAATAAATCATAAATAAAAACAATACATAAAAAGTGTTAAAATTTATAAAGATTTTTTTTTTTAAAGATAAAAAATGAATAAAATCAAATCTTTGACGGTTCATTATTGTCTTCTTTAAGTTCCTATGAAGCTCATTTCACTTCAGATTATTATATTTAAGGTTTTACAAAATAATTTACAAATATTTTTCTAAGTTTGGCCATTTTTAGGTTTAGAATTTTACTTCAATTGAAAACTGTGAGCTCATTTGTGACGTCTCGTTAAGTAATGCCATAACTGTTACCTGGGACAAAACTGCTCCAGTGTCACTTTGTATTTTATTTATTTATTTGTTTTTATTTTATTTTAAACAATATTATAAATAAGAATATAAGAAAACACCTTTAGTTTGTTGAAATCATGTCAGAAAAACATGTTTCTTGCCAAAAATGTAACTGTAATTCCTGTAATTTTCATCATATTTTTCAAGTGTAAAACTATAATTTATGTTGACAACAGGTTTAGGCCGATTATCCCACAAAGCCTCAAACGCACTTTCATTTTCAACCAAACTTTTCCCACAGACGGTACAAAGACTAAAGGAGTGTGACACTCGCTTCACTCACACTCACTCTACTATTCAAACTAAAAATCTACTTGATGATGTGGAGATTCACACAGACACTGATTTGTGACGTTTAAATTCTCCACGTCTCCAGGAGCAGAACATGAGTTGAGTTTGTCGTGTGACTAATGAGTCTCGTTGTTTGTTTAAGTTTTGTTCTTTCTTCTCTTGATCGTTGTGGAGAAATTGTTCATGAAGAATGTTTCTTCTTTGTGGAGTTTGTTGGTTGAAGATTTATGAAACTGCTGGAGAATACGACACATTTACACAGAAAAACATTAACCGGAAGTTCCACAAACCTGCAGCGTGACACTTCAGACCAGTTTTCAGAAGGTCTGTTGCTCAGGTGTGTTAGTGTCTCACCAATCAGGGCGCAGTCGTCACAGCAGGAATCAGGAGAGAAGAAAAAGAAATGAAAACACACAAAACAAGTCAGGGAACAGGAGAACTGAGGCTGTAACATCTTCCACCTTAGAAGTTCCGTGGTGCAGCTTCGGATGAACCTTTGGACAAACCTGTGTGAACGTTGGTGTTTGTGTTGAAGGAGGAGCTGGAGAACTTCCCCATGTCCACCATCCACCTGTGCCAGCCCGTCCTGAACAAGACCCGGTACCCGTCTGTGCTGCTGCTCGTGTGCCAGGACCGAGACCAGCGCCACCCGGACGTGCACTTCTTCCACTGCGACGAAGTGGAGGTCAGTTTCACCGCTCGG